CCAGCCTGGTTTTGTTGGATGTTCAAGCTAAAGGACAAGAAGCTATTTGCACCCTCCAATGTAGCTATAGGGAAAAGGGAGGATGCTGGCCCCCTGTTCAGGGCTTATCATCTTCATAGAGTCAATGCTAAAACATCCTTGGTGTCCTCGCAGCAAGTGCCTCTTTGACCTCTGTTCTCCCGTTCTGTTTCTATTTTCTTCATCGCTCCCCTGGGAATCTATTTAGACTTTTTTTTGTCTTGAATTTGAATAGATCATATTTCCTTTAAAGAAATTCACATAAGTTTTCTTTCTGTATTTCTTTAAATTCTTTAAATACTTTCTGTATTTTCTTTCTTTTATCTCTAAAAAATCTCTGAATTCTTAGTTCTCTATTTCTATCCAGTCTTACCTTTATCTCTTGTGTTTCTTCACAATCTCCAAGTTCAATGTTTTAAATCCTGTTTTACATTAACCATAAGCAAAACAAGGGAATCAAGGCTCTTCCTTATCATATGTACTCACAATCCTTGATGTTTTTTCCCCTTTAAATTCCAAGAAAAGATTGGTTTCCACAATTATTTATACTGAGATATAATTCCGTGCTCTTGTTCTTCCTAAACTGTAAGTCCTTTTAATGAAAGTACTGATTTTTCTTTGTGACAAAGAGATAGATGGTAGCAATGTCAACATTGTTTGAGACTGCTTAAGACTGGGGTTTTGTCTGAATAAATAATTCTCTGTTACTTTTGTTCTTAAGGTTACTGGCACTGCAGTGTAGCTATTCTATTCTGACTAATTTGCTCTTCTTGAATTTCTTTGGGCCTAATTTTACAATATCCCAATCATCTTTTATTACCCAAAGGCACCAGCCTTGTCTTGTTAAAGTGCCTTTATGTGGGTAAGACAATTAAATAAAAGAACAAAGAATGCCTGAGGAGCAACGGTAGGCTATTTTCATATTATTTCTTGAGCAAAAATGGATAGTTTCATTTAGAAGAAGTTTTCTCATTTTCAGAGATGGAATAAAAAAACTAGCTATTCTTGATACAAAAAGTGATATTATGCATCTTTGCTTTAGAAGAGTTTTGTGTGGACAACACTTTCAAAGACTGACATTTACTTATTACAGATACAGCACCTGCTTCCTGTTGTGGGGGAGAAAGGGTTCTTTGCCATGATTATATTTTCAATTACTCCAGACTTCTGCTCCCTGCACTGAGCTATCATTAGACTTGTACAGCAAGGGAAGCTCTTTTCAGCTTCCTCTATTGATGTTATTATTGAGGGGTTTAAAACATTTGGCATATGCCACCAAAATACATGACTGAAGACCTTATTTCCCATAACCGCCATATAAACCAAAGACTACAAGAATCTCACTCCCCAGACTCTATAATTTACTTGTTTCAGTGTGTTCCCCTCCTTCCTTTCAAGTCAGGACCCAGACCTCACCCTCCTTGTCATGCCACCATTTCCATCTCACTCTTTCAACACTAAACACAAGAAATTTGGTCCCACCATTTATAATCCCAGTGTCTCTGCCCTTAAAATGTAGATCTGAAGAGTCTTTATAGGCTGTCATAACCCAGAAATTAGAGTCATACAAAAAAAGCAAACAAAAAGTAACTATTATTCACCCAAGTAGGAAAGAAGCCTCTAATCTTTCCATGTAGAAAGCAATAATTTTCTCCAGGAAGATGGTCTAGTAAGGGGAAGAACAGAATTACTGACCACATCTGATGTGGTCTTGCTCTAAATGGTTTCAGGTAGTTTGAGGTGTCTTGAGTTACAAAGCTTTAAATTCCTGCCTGTCACATACATGTGTGGTTTATCTATTTATTCCTTGTGTCTGCTTTGTACTGAGCATCAGACAATAGTTCTAATTGTGGACTTAAACAAAAAAAGAAAAATAAAACCAAAAATCCAAAAACCGGAACAGTTTTAAATGCTGAAAACTCTAATCTTTCAATCTTTCAATTTTGGCTTGGCAGAAAATATTCTGGTGGTTCTGGTGTACACCAAGCTAAAAATGAACCAGGAACATGCATCAGCAGCAAAGGGTGGGTGATGTCCTGGGCTGCATTAGGAGTGTTGGAGGTTGAAGGAGATTATCCTTCCCTTCTATTCTGCACTGAGCAGGCCACAGCTGGAATGCTGTGGAATCCAGTTCAGGGCTCTCTAGTATAAACAATACACGGACACAAGGAGGTTGAGGCATTTCTTCAAGGAAGCAGGGAAACCTGAGGAAATCTGACAATTGTATGACACATTTGAATGCAATGCCTTATATTATTGTGCTGCTTAAATCTTCCCTTTACGTTATGGCAGATCAAGTACCCATGTGCAGAAAGAAAAAAGAAAACAGAATATGTCCCCCTGTTAAGTCAGCAAAGCTTCTTGCCTCTCACCAAGTGACTTAGAGATAAAAATAAGCACTTTAATAACTCAGCCTCCTTTCACACCATCCACCTGTCAAGCACAAGAGCTGATCTCCACTGATGCACTCATCTTCTGAATATTCCTCATTGTAAAAGGGAGCCAGAAAGTATTGTCTGCTTCTTCTTTTTGTGATCCTGTCTGGGATATATGCAGGGAAGAACACACAGATTGGGATCATTTTTCTGATGCAAAGGGAGAAAACAGAACAGTATAACTCAGTTCTGCCTTTAAATGATAAAAAATACAGATCTTTCCAGGATGGATCATGAAGGTAAAAAAACCCCAACAAACCATTTGTACATTGTCTTCTTGACTGTTCCTTCACACAATCCACATGGCTTTGGTTTATCCGATTAGCTCAGAGGTAATGATAGTGGTAACATCTACAGCCTCCTGAGGAGGGGAAGTGAGAGAAAGGTGCTGATCTCTTCTCCCTGGTATCCAAGGATAGGATATGGATTCCCCCAAGGTATGGGAATGGTTCAAAGCTGTGTCAAGGAAGGTTTAGATTTGTCATTAAGAAGCACTTCTTCAGTAAGAGACTGGTCATACACTGAAACAGACTTCCTAGAGAGGTGGTCAAAGCCTCAGGCCTGTCAGTGTTTAAGAGGCATTTGGACAATGGCTTAAGAAGGTGCTGTAACTTTTGGTCAGCCCTGGATTGCTCAGGCAGTAGGATGAGATGGCTGTTATAGATTTCTGTTCTAGATGGTGACAGCAGGCAAATAGCACTGGGAGGAGAGTGGGAGCTGGGTTTTGCGGGGAGGCAGCGCTCCTGTGCTTGTCTCTGTGTAGCTGACCCCCATGCAGTGTGCCCTGACCGCTCTGCGGGTGCGCTGGAAGCGTCCCGTCCCCATCCCCACGTGCCCTCGTGTCCTGCTGCGCTCAGGGGAGCAAGCCAAGGCGGCGTCACCCGAGCCTTGCCGCTGGCACGGCTGCTTGGACAAGGTGCACATTGTCTCGCCCTGCTGCTGCCTCCCCCATTGGCCAACCCCCACTGCCACAGGGACCAGAGCTCTTTAAAGGGAGACCACTAAATCTCAGCTGGGCACACAATCTCTCTGACTGCCACCAAGAGCTGTCGTGGCCACTGCCTCTCCCTGCAGGACCAGCTCCTCACAAAGCCTGTACCATGTGTAACAGATTCGTGGGCACCTGGAAACTCATCTCCAGCGAAAATTTTGATGACTATATGAAAGAATTGGGTGAGAAATGTTCTGGGTTTGTTTGTTTTTGTTTGTTTGTTTGTGGTTTTTTTGTTAATAAGTTTCATTTGGGAAGGTTCTGCTCATGGATGGTGCCTTCTTTCTCACCAGAAAAAGCACTTAATTACTCTTCTAACATAATTTAATTTCTTTTCTTTAGCATCTAAATTGAAAAAGGTAGGTGATTAATTACTATTATAAATTTACTTCTGTCTAACTGATATGAACTGATCTAATATGTTTTTCTGTCACAAGAGTAATCTATGGAGATACAGATTTTTTTGTTTCCCCTTGATTGCACTATTAAACTTGTGACTTATGATAATTCACAATATATAATGGAGCTGATGTCTCATGACACTGTAGTTTCAGACATCTAAATATTGTGAATGAATCTATCTGTTACTGAAGAATGCCAGGAACGTAACAAATTAAGCACTGTTTTTCATTTTAATGCTGGCTTCATTCCTGCATGACAAGTGCATGGACAATCAGCTACTGCATTGCTTTTGCTCTATAAATGATTCACTGGTTCCCTTTATTTGAAATGTTAGACTGAATAAAAAAAAGAATTGCAGTTAATTAATTAGACAGGGTGAATGTGGGAGGAAAGTCCAGCTGCAAATATTTTTCTGAACATCTGAACAGAATTGCTTAGTATGGAATAATTACTGCAAACAGTTTTATACTTTGCAGATAACTTCATACCCTTTTTTACAGATCTTTTCATCTGAGAATGTCATAGCATTAAGAAAAGCACTAACTACAGCTATCCCTTTTCTGCTCTTATGAAGCAGTGATACATCACCAGTGGCTTCATTCCTATTTGCCTCAAGCCTTACAGCCTTATTTGCCTCAAGCCTTACAATGAACTGGACTGGAAAGGACTAGGCAATACAAAAGATTTTTGGTATGGCATTTTCCTGGAAGCTCTTTGCAGCTCTCAGCCCTTATACCTCGACATTTTTTATATTTCATACTTGAATTTTTCACCAAGGTTTAGATGCAAGGATCCTTAAGGGATGTTAATAACAAGTAAGGAATTACCCAGTCTTCAGTATGTTTTAATGAACAAGCACCAGTGTATTGGCAGTTCAGCATCCAGTTTCTTCCTTGCAGCTATTAACAAAGGTACAAATTCTCAGAATTGTCAAGGATTTTTTAAAAATTATTTTTACAAATTGTTATGAGAACCAGACTCTTCCTCTGAATTATTCTACTTATTCTATCGATATTAAATTAATGCAGATTTGTAACCAACTGTATTTCTTCTTAACTAAATGTGTACAGCTCTATAATTGTCTATATCTTTACTTCTTGCTGAAGGTGCACACTTATCAGCTGGGCTGCCTCAGCCCCTGAGTGCTGAGGTTCTCACTCCTACCTCTGTCTCAGTAGCGTCTCATCTAAAGAATGAATGTTTCATCTAAATCAGGCATTAAAGTATTCAAGAATAAACTCTTCCTTATTCTTCCACTGAAGAATCATGAGAGGATACTGAGTTTCTTGCTTCTAGCATGTAATGGTTTTTTTTTTTTGTTTGTTTGTTTCTGATTTCTAGGTGTGGGCTTGGCTGCCCGGAAACTAGGTGGCCTGGCAAGGCCTGACATTATCATCAGTATGAAAGGGGACATAGTGACCATCAGAACTGAAAGCACCTTCAAAAATACAAGCATTTCCTTCAAACTGGGCCAGCAGTTTGATGAAACAACAGCAGATGACCGGAAAGTCAAGGTAAGGGGGCTGATGATCTCTGATTGGTCTGAACACCTCATAGAAGAACACCATGGGAAATTTTATCTACGCCCTTAGTGCACCTTGAGTTTTCCAAACTATTAAAATAAAGCACTGAAAGAGACACAGTATAGTGCTGAATATAATGTTACGGAGTGTGCCATTATCCCCGAGTGCATATCTTGCTCAACACAAGGTGAATTGCTGCTCTAAACTGCAAAGCTCAGCCTGCAGTCTGAAACTCTTCTCTTGGAATTTGCAGAGTGTTGTAACCTTGGAGAAAGGGTCATTGGTGCAAGTGCAGAAGTGGAATGGCAAAGAGACCACGATAAAGAGAAGACTTGTTGATGGGAAGATGGTGGTGGTAAGTTCACGTTCCTTGTACACTGCTAAAGGTCAGCCGGATACAGCCTTCAGTACGTTTCTGTCTAAACAGACTATCAAGTTAGGCTTACTCTTTGAATAATGAAACAAATTAAAGGAGAGAAAAATGGAACCAAGCTTAGAAAACAGCTGGAAAGAAATTAATGTTGTTGCATACAACAACTTGTCTTTAAAGTGACTATATTGGCAGAGCTGCCATAAGTTGACAGCATACTTACTACTCTCAACATTATTATTCTTAAAAGGAATAAGGTTTAAAAATAACAGAAACCTGTGAAATGGAAACAAAAGTTTCCGAGCAGGGTACTGCTGTCCCTGAAACAGTTCCTTCCTTTTCACTATCTTGGCCAAGCCAGGGAGAGAAAACATTTTAGGGACCCTCGTTGTAAGGGTCACTATTAAAATTAAGATTTCACTTTGTTCATTAAAGTTTTTAAATATTGGAGTCAAACTAATTTTGGCAACTTGTTTGAAGTCAGCAGCATTACACTTTTACATGTGAGGTCGTTCTCACTGTCTTTTGTTATAAGTTCTCATATGTAGAATCATAGAATTGTTTGGGTTGAAAGGAACTTTAGAGAACATCTAATTCCAACCCACTGTCACAAACAAGGACACATTCCACTAGACCAGGTTACCCAAACCCCATCCAGTCTGATCTTGAACATTTCCAGGGATGGGGCATCCACAACTTCTCTGGGTAACTTGTTCCAGTGCCTCCCTATCCTCATGGTAAAGAATTTCTTCCTAATATCTAATCCAAACCTCCCTTCTCTCAGTTTAAAGCCATTCCCCCTTGTCCTGCCACTACACAGCCCTGTAAAAAGTCCATCTCCAGCTCTCTTGAAACTTCCCTTTATGTAGGAAAGTTGATTTGGTTTTGCATCTCCACATGGCTGCATTTCTGTGTAAGATTTTCTTATTATTAAACCCTCTTCATAAAGCAGAGATGTAAAGTGTCTCTTCTGTCAGCATCCTGCTGTCTGCCCCTTGCCTCATAGAGGGCTGTGGAGGACTCCTCCTCTTTTGCAGACCAAGGAAGTATTTTTTTAACATCCTGTCACCTTTGTTGCATGTATCCTGTGAGTCAACAGCAGCCACTGGGGTTAGAGGGTCAAGAGAAATATTTTGTGACTCAGAGGGGCAAAGATTTTTAGGCCTGACCTTTGAAATACCCAGGTTACTTCTGCTTCTCCACAAAAAACCCTTACTACTTTGAAAATTTGAAAGCATTGGTGGGCCATGATATAAACACTTGGTGAGGCTAATATTTCTGACAAGCCAACAATAATACCAAGGAAAGTAAATTTGTTTGTAGAAGCTGAACCTAATTTTGCAATCCTTTTGTCATTAAATGCCACTTAATGTAAGTTTAAAGCTATTAAAATAGAAACAGCTCTATTTGCAATATAAAAATAGCTTTGCTGTAAAAACATCTGGATTTTCATTGACTTCAGAGGCTACTGCAGCAGACGCAACTGCTGTCAGCAAAAGGTTTATATTAAAATTTTCCTTTATGCCTTAGGAATGTGCCATGAAAGGGGTTGTCTGCACTAGAGTTTATGAAAGAGTGTGAAGAAGTTCCCTCTCTGCACCGGACCAGAACTGGCTCTAAAACCTCGGCTTGGTTCAGTGACCAAAGCCTCATGCACTGTGCTTCTTCATTTTATTTCCTTTTATTGGGAAAATGACTATGCCATAATTTGATATTTCAGAGCCATAGTGTAACTAATCCAAAATATTGTGGTGATCCAATAAAATCTTCTCAACACAGAAAATGGAGTTTGGCTCCACATGAATGATTTATGTTTATTTCTTGACTGGCACTATCTTTTCTGTTGACAGTGTCTGTACAAAAGGTCAGACTATCTCTGAGTAAAACGGTGAAACACAAGTAATCCATATCTGAGAGAGGGCTAACACTGATTCTTTGATAGGTGTAAAAAATATAATCTCCTGGGCTCAATATTCTTTTCCCACAAGATATTTTATTGCTGAATGGCTCCTAGAGGGAAAATTATCTTTACCACCAGAATTTTTGACTTTCAGTATGATATGTCATTGTAGCCTTATAGTCTTAGCACATCATTGTTTCATACTAATCTCAAAAAGCTTATATTTCTTATAGTGCCAGGATTTATTTGGAAGAAAACAGATACTGGAGGGGAAAAAAATTAGAATATGTTCCATATTTGTCTGCTAAACAGGCAGATAAACCCATGAAACAAAGTGTGGAGCAGGTGTGAATGAACTCCAGAAGCCTTAAGGCTAGAGGGCTTCACTTTAAAAGTGCTCAGCAATCAAGCCTACTTCCAGCACAGTATTTTTAAGTGTATGCTTAATAAGCTCACAGAGGAGTTGCATTGGGTAGAGTTTGCTGTCAAGCCTAACTGAGTAGCTAAAGTGTTCCTTCCTTCCACTGCACTTACTCTGCTTTTATCTAAGGTAAAAAACAGAAAAAGCAAACCTAAACTTCTAGAAATCTATTTAACAAAGAAAACACTGCAGCAGGTTATTAATATTTGCCTCCATTGGCCAGTGGTCAGTACCACTGCCACATTCACACGAAACACATTTCATCATGTCATTGCCTCGTGCCATCACACAGAGCTCCTGCCTCCTCTGTGGGGTTAAAACAGCTGTGAGAGGCTCATGCGTTTATTTTGGCACATGTGTTTATTTAGGAGCCAACAGAGCTGATATGAACCTTTGCCTACTGGTTTTACAGGCAAGAACACAAGTTCTCAAGGTTAAGACAGATCCTGAACATCAGAATCTAAACTGGTTTAGCCAAGCAGAGAATGAAGAGATGAATATCATATGCAAATTAAAGATATAAAGGTCACCTTTCTTCTCTACCCACCACTGGAAAAGCTGGAATCTGGGCTCAGCTCTGGATAGATTTTTATGCAGATGCAGTATAACTGCAGGCAGCTGCCAGAAGGCACACTTGAATCCTAGAAAATATGAGCCGTGAGAGAAAGCTGTGGGATTTATGGACAGCAGTTTTCAGTTTTCAAAATTTATCCTGGTCTCTAACCTAGATGAAGGGACAAATGCCCCATCTTTAACCTTACCATTAAAACTCACCTCTATGACTGTGACTCCAAATCCTCAGTGATTGTTACAAAAAATAGAGGCAGAACAATTCCTTGTGTGTCATCTTTTGCAAACAGAATGTAATCACATATCCTGAGTGAAGATATTCTACGAGGCTTCCATAAGAACAGCCATACAGTGTGAACTCTCATTATACGTGACCCTCCAGATTATTCTTCTAGTGTCTTAACAGAGAGCCAGAGACATTTCTTACAGCTCCAAATATGCCTTGAAATGGACTTGTGAATCTGAATTTTTGCTCTGCAAATTCTTCATTACCTTCCCTTGCAGTATAACACAGTCCCAGTGAAGCTGCTGGAGCCACTCACCCCAGACTGGCTCCTGGAAGCTGGAACTTGTCCAGAGACTTTTAAGCAGAGCTCACCTCCCACCCCTAAGCCACAGGCAAGGGAGAAGACACTGCTGCAAACAAGCTCTGTATTTCCTTGGCTTTTCCTGATGCAACCTGTAAATTCTTAAGTTAAATGAAAAATCTCCTCTTCAATAGAATATTGGTTTTCAGTTTTTTATTTCCTTAGGCAAAGGAAATAAATAAACATTTACTTCAGTACAAACTACAGTTTCCGGATCTGGAAACACTAACAGAATGAAAACAAAGGGCTGCTCACCTACTTTTCATTTATTTATTTACTGTCGTCTCCAATTCTGTGACATAACCCATCTCTCCCTTCCTCTTCTAAAGAAAATTTTAGTTACATTTATTTTTACAGAGATTTGGAATTAAAATAATGATATCTTTGGGGTTTTACGTTCCTAACTAAATACAGATATGCTGTTTAGGAGCCTAGTATTTGGCACTTTCACTCTATACAAAGGTCAGGTAAAAATGTCATGAGAACTGGAGACTTTCCAAAGCAGGATAAGTGCAGCAACACTGATAGTGTCGAAGGCAAAAACAATAGGGTAGGTGGTACAAATCAGCATAGAAACGGAGCACTTTTGTCTACTGCTGTCTGTAAAGCAGTCCTTGGGGTCTACAGGAGAATTTAGGAGGAATGCAAATTTTTTTAGTCTCAGGGTGTTCTTCATGTCTTACTGTAAATTAGCTTTTCTTCTTTATTAAACTTTTTATACAGGCCAGATACTTCTGGAGTAAACATCTAGGCTGAAGTACAATGTCTGTGTCTTGAACTGTACTTTCACACTGACGAACAACCCATTTGCTATTTTCATAGCTTGTGTAAGGACTTACCCTAGAAACATTGGCAGTCTGATGCTGTATATAAATAGCATTATTTAGAGCAATCAGCTTGATCTACCACCCACCCCAGGCAATTAAGTCCTGGCTGAGTTTATAGTGCCACACTCAGATTCCTCTCCCATCAGTCACTCTTTCTGTAAGTTTGTTAAAGCTCTGTCATGCCTCTGTTTTGGCTGCATCTCCTGAGATGGTGGAAATTGCCTGTATGGTGTATTCATCCTCCAGCGGCTGCAGGTCTGGCAGCATTCCCTGCCTCTGCCCTCTCTGACATCTGCTGGGGAAGGAGAAACAAGCTGTCATGGCAAGAGCTCCTCTCAGCCCCTGTGCTCCCATGGGGAGCACTGAAGTCAAATGAAAGCTGCATCTGGACTCCATGTACCAAAGCTGTTTCCTTGAACTGGGCAAAATTTGGCAATTTGTGATAGAAAACATCTCCTGGTGATGTATAGCTAAACCCAGAATACTGGACCCTGCATCCCAGTCTTTTCCACATGGAATAGAGCAGAGAATATAGGCTTTCCTACAGCTTTGAACTTCCTTTGTCCATCTCCTTGAAGTTCATTTTGGAAGCAACTGTGTTCCTGTGAAGTGAATTCACACACATTCAGGTGCTCAACAGATCTGCCATTGTTTTACACAGAAACCTTGTCACCTGCTGGGACAGTTTGACTGGGCAGTGTGTGTGGCTGGGCAGCTCTAGAAATAGCAAAGATTTGGGGAGGGGGATTGGGCTGTGTAAATTAAACAATTGTGCTTCATAAGAAGTCCTCACATCTTACCACATTTTTTCCAAGAAGCAATGTGTTATGCCAATAAACACTGTGCTGTTTATGAATTGCTCAATGTGCCTTTTAAGACAATGCTACCTTGCCTAATTTTTATTTTGGATTAAAGATGTTCTGTTGCTTTCAGGAATACAAAGGAGTGAAAGGTTAGCACTGAAGGGATAATCAGTCAGAAACAAATAGGCTGATAGCATGAAAAAAATTGCCTTCAGAAATCCTGGAATTTAGATGTAATCAAGGTCTTTGTTAGGGAGGCAATTAGAGCATATCCTCACCATTTCAATGAAAAATGTTGTGGTTGGCTATTGGCCATCTGCTGCAGATGAGAAACACAAGAAAATGTTATTTGGACTAAAGGGCACAACAACATTGTGAATAATACTGTGCCTAAGATGCCACAGAGAGGGAAAGCTGTGTTAGACAGCATCCTTACAGTATTTTCAAAGGAAATGTTTCATTTTTTACTTTTCAAGAAGCAAATCAATATTTAAACATACTTTCTTCAGATGTTACAAAAAATTTAAAACTAAAATTAGAAGAAATGCAATCATTCAAGGATTGGGAGGGTTGGGTTGACTGGTTTCCGGTTGGTTTTTTTTCCGTTTTTTCGTTGAGGATTTATTAAATTTTTTTAATTTTTTTTTATATTTGCTATAATGTGATCACCAGTATCAATCATACTATTTGTGAGAAGATGAGGGAGGAAGAAAATATTTTCTATTTAATTCAAATTAAACACACTCCTTGTCACACTCCCTTGTGGATAAAACTTCATACAAGAGGCACCTGTGTCAGCAGTGAGGTCAAAACACTGTGAGGATCCATCTTTCAAGCTCATAGACATGGTGTCACAGCTAAAGCTGCATCAGGACACACTTACAGTGGAACTTTGGCACTGTCTGCTTCAGATTTGCCTGCTTCAAATTTGCCTGCTTCAAATTTGACAAAACTTAGGGTTGCTTTGGAAATCTGTAAACATAATTAAGGGAAAGGGGAGATATGTAATGTGTCTAGCTACTGTACAATACTTTGCCAAAACCAGTCTCATTCATCTCAGATCCTAATACGAATTTCCCAAGCTAAAAAATCTTTAAGTTTTCTTGGAAGCTCTTCACATTTGATATGAAATCTGCAAGACAGTGAAGGTAAGGCACTCAGTTTTCTTGTATAAACTTCTAGCTGAGGTTTGCGGATTTCTAAGATGTTGTACCACCTTCTTGTGTCTTGTACCATATTGTGTTAAGAGTTTTATAGCCTACTGACTCCTATAGCTCTGTAGAGGTAAGTAATTCCTTTAGGTTTGTAAAAAGGTTTGTAATTCCTTTACAAACCTCTTCTCCATATGAACAGTGGAAAAAGAAAAGACTACAAAACCATTTTAGACTGTAAAATACAACATTCAAGGCCCCTAATTACTTGGTCAACACAAATGTTCACTTAACAAGAGATAGAGCAGTTAGATTATAAAGGGTTAGGTGCATAAATGTCTGTGCTTTCCAGATAGGAACTGACCCCTCTGGCCAGGAGCACAGGAACCAAGATTAAGACTTTCCCTGGTGTTTCCTTTTTCTGGGGATTTTGGTGTAATCAAGAAGCATTATTACAGTTTATCCTGGCTCTTTCTCCAGTTGGGCAGAGAGCATGTTGTGAAATACAAAGGCAATCACTATGGTC